AGGGTAAGCAGAGATAAGCAATTTGATTGGTTGATACTTTGGGGCACGATAACTCTCTGCCTAATTGAGCTAGAATGTTCAAACTTGGTGTATGTGTTGATTAGGTCAATGCCTTGATGGAGTTCGAAGATGAGCATTTTCCGCTTAGGGTAAGCAGAGATAAGCAATTTGATTGGTTGATGCTTTGGGACACGATAACTTTAGTTCTAATTAAGTGAGATTGATGAAACTTGGTGTATAGTTTCATTACATCAATACCTTGACTAAGTTCAATCATGAGCATTTTCTACTCAGGCTAAGCAGAGCAATAAGCAATTTGATTGGTCGAGACATTGGAACACAATAATTCACATTCTAATTGATGTAGAATGTTCAAACTTGGTGTAGGCTTTCATTAGGTGAATGCCTTGATGGAGTTCAATGATGAACATTGTATGCTTACGGTAAGCAGAGATAAGCAATCTGATTGGTTGATGCTTTGGGGCATGATAACTTTGAGAGAGATGAAACTCCGAATATAGATTCATTATATCATTACCTTGACTAAGTTCGATGGTGAAAATTTTCTGCTAAGGCTAAGGAGCAATAAGCAATTTAATTGATTGGTCAAGACTTTGGAACATAATAACTCTGCTTTTAATTGAGGTAGAATGTTTAAACTTGATGTAGATGTTCATTAGGTGAATGTCTTGACTAAGTTCAATGATTAACATTTCGAGCTGAAGCCAAGCAGAGCTTATCAGTTTCATAATCTTGATTCTATTTGATAGACAGTGATGAAACTTAGTCTATAGTTTAACTGTTCGATACTTTTGAAAAAAATAAATGTTCTATTAATTAATACGTGTCATCTAATTATTTTGCTATTTCGGCGGGGGACATCAGCCTCACTGTTGGCTTGTTTTCTATGTCGAAGACTGTGGTACGTCAATATCCAGTTAGAGACCTATAGCCACTTCAACTGAATGTTACAAAGTAGTGCAGGGAAAGGTATAACAGGGCGGCTGCCCCCCCCCCCCCCCCCGCCACACACACACACTTCCTAGATGATAGAGACTAACTCTAACTCTGCCAGAACCTAAACTCTCTTAAATCCCGACTGGTCAAATTTTGGTAAAGACACGAACCATACATGTAGGCCTACTATAATAATTACAATGCTAAATTCACTATTGGTTAGATATAGATAGATAGATACATAACGATTTTGTTTTTGGGGGGGGGGGGGGTGTTTCGCCAAAATGCGACCGACTGATGCACATACCTCCAGTACGAATGACGCAGCCAGGAACCACAGGTGGGAGTTTTGTAGGGGCCATGTGCAGTATCGGATCTATATAGAAGCTGGGAATAGGGGGTGGGGTGGGCGGTTCCAAATCTAGGGAGCCATCCAGAATGCCACCCCACAATGAATGTCAACAAAATACTGGCTATAACATTAAGCGTCACAGTAGAACATAGATAGTATTGTATAATTATATAGTTGTTCGCCGATCGTTGTCTCGCCGGAAAGCAGTTTTATTTAAGTTGACATCCTGGAAGATGAAACGGCGGCCATGACGTCGTGCGAACGGCACAACATGGACTGCCAAGATGTTGTCCCGGTAGTACTGGCCTGTAACACGCCCTGCAACAACATGTAAAGCCGTTCTTCCAGCAACAGTGATGCCTCCCCACACCATAACAGAACCACCCCCAAATCGATCATGTCTGATGACGTTAACGTCTTGGAAGCGCTCGTTTCGACGACGCCACACCCTCCTACGTCTGTCCAAAAAATCAACAGTGAACCTTGACTCATCTGAAAACATCACATTGCTCCAGCGTCGATTATCCCAGTGTTGACGATCCCTACACCAACGACGTCTTGCCTGAATGTGATGATCTCTCAAACAAGGGATCACGCGAGGACGTCGGGCGCGAAGGTGACCCCTATGCAGTCGATTCCGAATCGTCTGGCCACTCACTCTCACACCAGTGTCTGTTTGAAGACGAGCGCTGATCTGATTTGCTGTGATGACACGATTTCTCAAGGCCAAGGTACGGATAAATCGATCCTGGGCTTGAGTTGTCGCCCTTGGTCGACCTTAGCGTGGTCTGTCCTGTACAGATTGTGTATGACAGACTGAGAAACATTCATCGTCCGCGCCACAACCGCCTGTGTTGTGCCGATCTGTAGCATGCCAAGGGCACGTAACCTTTCATTTTGGGTAAGCCGACGCATATCAAAATTTGTTTTCTGGTCACTAAAACAATTAAACTGATGTTTCCACCCTGGAATTCAATGCCACAATGACTGTAACATTCAAAGTCAGAGTCGTGCAAATCTTGGGTTGGACTCCCATGATGATCCCAAGCATCACCTGCATTCCATGCGGTAGCTATTGGTGCGTTTGGGCGTCACATGTAACTGAAAATGTTTCTTCTGTTAGGTTCTATAGTGACTTTTTTCGTAGTCATTTGCATATTTTAGTATTATGCCCCCAAAATCAAATATCCCCTACTTTTTTTGAATAGTATGTGATGATTGTGCCTATAACACTGAGCAACCTGAGAAAATTTTGAAAAATTGAGTCAATATCCTAGCATTTGAGGTCATTGTGGACGAGAGGACCAGGCATTGTGGACGAGAGGACCAGAAATGTGAGTCTCGAGATCTGCCCCTGTGAATTCCGTCTGTTTTGCAAGAGTTGACATAACATTTTGTATAGTCTAACGCCCCACGACCCACACCAGTAGGCCTATAACTGGGCAGCTCACTATAACCGTGAATATGATAGTGCTGAGACGGTATCAGACAACAAAGGAATAGAAGAATGATGTTATAACGGAATCGAGCGCCGCAGTTGCCAAAAAATTTCAGATATTATTATGTCACCGAGCTTTTAATTTTTCGGAACTGGGCCTGAAAATGTTAGTCAATGTCATGGCAAATGGAACCAAATTCTCGTTAAAGAGAGGATAAGAAATGGGACAGAATCTTGTGGCCTATCTGTCAATTTGGCCTGTTTTGTGATTGTTTACCTCATTAATTCATTTAGACTGAGGCCGACCGACTATTTTTTTGCCATGGGGGAAAAACATTTCATAGAAGAACATATTCACAACAGAATAAGAGTGACAAACATTTTTTCAAACATGACAAGCAGACATGGTTATTTTATACTATAGTTTTGTGTGACGTATGCAATTTAGGCTCACGAATTCACGCAAATACTTACAGCGCAGTGGACGCTTACGGCTAGCCCCCGGATCCATTCACTTTTTTTGAATTGTCTTTATGTTTGTGTTTTCCTGAGTATGATGTCCTGTCCGTGTATTTGTTTTTGTGTAAATTTTGTGTGGTGCAGTCCCCCTGCACTTACTATTAGTATTTGGGATCTATTCTGGCATTAATTCATTTTAAGTCGCCGATGCATAATTTTGAGACCGACTGCAGTGACGTGTACTTATTTTGGGACCGATTATTTTTTTCTCTGGGGAAATTTTGTTTTTAGACCAACATACTCACAATAGAATAAGAGTAAAACACAACATTTTTTCAAACATGATAAGTGGACAAGGTTATTTTATTCTAAAGTTTTTCGTGAGTAGCGTGACGTATATGCAGTTAGCACTCGTATTGATACCGACTGCTCTTATTTTGCGACCGTGCGACCGACTATTTTTCTTCCCCCCCCACCCCAAATTTACGCCCCTGAACTACATGTATATCAAAGGGGTTAGGGGTTTCAGTTAGATGTATTATAGTTGCCACCAAATTTGATTTTCCAGAGTAGAGGATCACACAGAACCTGATCTGGAACACAACCATAATAGTAATCTTAGGGGAGAGCGGGGCACAGTGGGCATGATTTCTTTTTTTTAGTGAATTGACCAGAAGTGAAATCCTACAGAGAATCAAACTATGCACTCAGTTGAAGCCAGTTATATGTTCGATTTAACAGTGCTGTTAAGAAGTTAATAAATTGAAACCATTTTTGTGTAGATCATTGTAAAACCCAAATTTTTTTTTGACCCAATGTGCCCCGTATGTGGGGTACACTGGGTCACACTATGGGACACAGTTGGTCATCAAGTATGTTTCTTTTAAAAAAATGTATAGTAAACACACCAAAACTCATAAGAACTGTAAAAAGTAAACTTTTAGGTCAAAATATGAATTTGTTTTAAGACTTGAACACAGATATGCTGCTGAAAATTTAAAAAAACAGCTTAACATTGAATAAAAAATTCTTTAACTGGAGAAAAAAAATCTGTTATGTGAAAAACTCCTATGAGTTGTAAGTCAGTAAGGATTCGTAACCTAGGACCAATATTTCCTTAAAAACAGCTCAAATATCCAGATTCTGTCTAAAATGGACAGATGAGATTTAGCTAAACTCGAAATGCTTATGCTCAGTGTGCCCCTCTGAAATGTGCCCCACTGTGCCCCGTCATCAACCATGTCAGAAAATCGAAAATGGCAGGAAGACGTGATAGTATTATGAAACAAAATATTTCTAATAAGAGTCAAATACTATCTCCTTCACCTGGGATTTCAAGTTTGTGGACTCTTACAAAATCTGGAGTAGCCAAGCAGTTTAACCATTCCGCCAAAAATTCACTTTTGCGTCAGAAAAACAGTTAATGGCCGATAAATATTAATCAGCTAATGTGAATTTATTGAAATTAGGGGGACAAATGGGGGCCGTATAGGGGAATTCCCCAGTGATGTCACAATTGAATTTTCCCAAAACAGTTAAAAATTACAAAGCCTGGCTTACTGTGCCCCATGGCTTACTGTGCCCCGCTCTCCCCTACTAATTATAAGTGTCAATTGTCTTTCATAATCAACATATTTTAAAATTTTATTTTGGACCATTTTTTTTTCAAAATAATAATTATATTTCCTGATTTACGCCCGGTCATCTTTATGATATGATAACGAGCACGTGTCACATTATAATGTCGCAACAACAGACGAACAACAGCTGTGACGGAACTGTAGGATTGTGGGATATGTAATGTAATAGTAAACAATATGGACGACAGCTGAACAAAATAATCAAATAATCGGAGGACTGCATGTTTTATCAGTTCTATGGCTATGGCACACCTTATTATGATTATTTCATCTGTCTAACTAATGTATAACTGGCCAAGTGTACAGTTCATCGTTTATTTACTGTATGTTAAGGGTGCGTGTAACTAAAACTAGAAAAAAAAGTTAAAGTCCTGTCCTGTTGGCAGTGTCGCCAGTGTTGCTCTGTTCGACCTCAAACAGATTCTATTTGACATACAGTGCACGTGACGCCGCCATACACAGCGGGATATTTTGTCGTTGACATTATTCATTTGATTGGCATAGTGACACATTATATTGTTCAACAAGTGCATTTTCAGTTCTACTGTGTAAGCCTGTTTACTGTCAGTCGGGGATGATTCATATTGAAAATTGAATTTCCATGTGCATGTTCTATTGGCCGAAGCACATAGTGTCATAGTTAAGTTATACAACTTTATTACAAGGAGAAGCCATCAAATACATGACATCATAGTGATAGTGTATACCATTAGGGTACCCAACTAGAATAATAGGCGCCTATCAAATTTCATGTAGAATGAGCCTACTAAGGATAATGTGTAAACCCTGCCTATTTTTGTCTCTGTTGCACTTATTGTCAATGTTAGTGTTAATTGAAGCAGATAATAAGACTGTAGCAGAAAAAGGTGATAATGTCAATAAAGACCTGATAGCAGATAGTTACAGTAAGTATTATAATCTGCATGGAATTGGGATTTATAAATTCTTAATTTATCTACTAAACCATCACTTATTACGGTAATCGGTATACTGAAAATCATGCAAATAGTATGAAAAAAGTAAACCAGCATGGACCCTATTAAGGTCCATGAAAATATAGTATGCCCTGTCTTCATAAATCCCGAGGGCTTGTTTTGTTTCAGTGATTATGTAAACCCTCAGGACTGTACTGGTATCAATCATAAAATTAAGTCTCTATTTATCATAAATACGGGGGATTATCCCCTACAAATTACTATACTGAGAAGGTTTTATCCTAAAAGGAATATTAATTCAAAAATGGTTCAATTTTTCAAAGACACGATGAATTGAAAATCAGTCAACATTCGGCACCCTCTTTGGATTTAGTCAACTCGAGCCAGCTCCAGGGCAACATTGATTTTTGGGGAAATATTTGATAGGTCTCTTCTTTATTCAAGTGAAACCAAGTCGGGAATGAAATGAAATAAAATGAAATGAAATGGAGTTTAACGTCCTACTGTTCTGCTCCTAACATGGGCTAATGAAGACAGGCATACATGTACGCCATACAGTGTGCTATGATGAGGGAAATTTTGCCCGGGCAGCGGCGCTACGGCCTACTCTTATATTGAATTCCAACTGCCAAGGGATCTTTTACGTGCACGCCAATGTGTACACGGGACCTTGGTTTTTCATACCATCCGAACGACTAGACAGCTGTCCTTGCCAGGCCCTCCATCCTGCATCACTGACAAGGGGAAACCACGTCGGAAAATCTGAATGAACTTTCTCGGCCAATGCAGGGATCGAACACCCGACCTCCAGACTAGCGAGCAAGCGTCTTACCCACTTAGCCACGTGATCCCCCACCAAGTCGGGAGATTACATGTATCTACTGTTGATATTACGCTTTTGTTTGTTAATTAAATATTCAGTACATAATATATAGTGAATTTGAGTATATTTTACATACATGCTTGTAAGTAATCTGTGAAAAATGTGATATTTTGCCAAAGAAGTTCAAATGACGATCATGACATTTGGCATTTTGAAACAATCAATCATGTTTTATTGAATGTCAGTCCTGTTGCTGTACATATATAATTGGTAATTTGTGAATTAATTTCATGTACAGCGTAATCTAATGTACTGCGCATTTAGTTCATCATTATAAATGGGTCTCATTTGGTTATTGTAATTTATAAATTTATAGTTATTGTTGAACAATTTTATACATGTATTTTTAAAGTATAATCCATGTTAACAAGATGTGTCCACCTGGCACAATGAACAAGAGTTAGGAATGGGAAAATATAGTGGACCTATTTTGAAGTTGCATTCAATGTTGTGAACTAACATTACCTACTAATCATTGCTAGAAAGTCACAGTGGTCCGTAAAAAACTAAATGGCAAACAGACTTTGACTTAATTTTCTACTGTTGGCGCTTGAGAATCAGCCGGTAGGAAACTTTATTTCCAAATGGCACCTCTCTGAACTTGAGCTTACATTTTAGGAGTTTCAGTGGCAATATCTCACGTTATTCAATGCATTTGAAATTGAATCACACTGTAAAGGAATATACATAGTGACTGAAGCTGTAGTTGTTTAACAATTTATGACTTTGGGCTTGTTAGCAAACATATGTTCCTTAGTTCAAACGTTTTGGTTCACTTTATCGAAAGTATGATACATATAAAATGCTTTTTGTTTTTGAAAGTACACATAATCATTGCTGTTAAAATTACATTTATATACATATATTGATTTCATTCACTAAAAGTCTATAATATTCAGAAATTATAATCATTATTGATTCTAAACAGAATTGAAGCCACCATGGCTCAGTGCTCACTAATCAAAAAGTCTCAGTTTCGATCCTGGTATCGGTCGAAAAGATTCTTGAGGATATTTCAGCATTTTACCCCTTGTCGTTGGTGCAGGACAGAGGGCCTGACGCATACACATAATAGAACACTTGACTGTACAGATGGAATTCGATGAAGATTATGCGAAAACACAAAATATCCCTAATACATGTACATGTACCACACTCATTCATTAGCCCGGTTGGTGCAGAAAGTAGGATGTTAAATCTCATTTCATTTCTGAACAGATTAAAAACTTAAGAGACAAAAGTTAAGGTTGCTGTAATTTATTGTGATAATGGAATAAATATTACTTATCTATTGTGATACCGGTACATATAAGAACCTAGCTATTTAAAGACAGTATGACCTTTTGCACGTCAACATAAAATTTGTCATGAAATATGATACTTTAATGCTATTAATAGGCCATACCAATATTCATTTTAATTCTTTCATCTGAGTTATAAATTAAATACATGAAATGATGTGTGAATAATATATAGTTTAACTGCATGTAAATTGATATGATAATGGATTCAAGATAAACTTGTCACCATCTGTGGTTATTATCTTGTATTATAATGGGATGTAACCAGGTGAATATTACTCACGCTTCTAGAAAGAATGAAATTACTATTTTGGTTACAGATGGTTTATAATGTTCTCTCATTACAGACACCTGTATTTATCGTTGAGTTTTTAACTTTTTGACTCTGCTACCCTGGTAGTAAAATATGGCTAAAGGCCTTAGAACACCAAAGATTATTTGCTGCCAAAAACCCTATAATAATAATTAAAGTAGAAATTTAATATGAATTAAACATACATTATGCAAGAGCTAAATCTGCCTATTGCAGGTCTTTCTTTAGGCCTGAAATGTTATCTGAATTATTAATTAGACATTAATTAACTTATCCAGACCATAATCAACTCTCGATGACATCGCTAGGCTGCGATGTTTATTGGATTAGGTTCCGATTTGCTGTTTGACGTCCATTCATAATTAAATCATGAATTGGATAATCAAGACTTTTTTATCCTACCGTTTTTAGTAATGATGATCGAGGCTAGGCCGAAAATTCAATCACTAAAATCTTGGTTCATAGTATATCAATTTGACTGAAATTTTCAGCAAATTCCCTTTACAGTATCTAGTTTTTAACTATTATAGTGAGAACTGCCAGCACTTTATCTAATCTCCCATAATGTATCTTTAAAATTAGAAATATTTTGCTACTTTCTAAATGTTGCAATGAAGAGTATTCTAGTTATTGATTTATATAGTGTACCTTTGTCTTTTATGGTACACATCTAGTCCAATATATTTCAAAGCTATTATTGATTATTGATCATTTTAAGTTACCATGGTAATATATGTAAAAAATGAATATAACATTCTTTGTCACCAGGGAATATAAAAGTATCAGTTCCCTTTTAGAAAGTTTGTCCAGGCTTTTTATGAATTCATGTACCATGTTTGAATTTTAAGATTAGTAGAATTGATCATTTATAAATAATGGATGTGAAGAAGGACAATTTTAATTAAAATAAAATATGCACATTACTAATAAACAAGTTTTAATCACTGTTATTTATTGCATACTGGGATAAATTTACTATTAGTCTCTTCTTATTATTTCACAAATTAATACACAAAAAAAATAAATAAATCATTTTTATATTTTCACAATATATTTTTTTTAATTTTTATGTATATCACCAAAGCTATTTGGAATAAGAAAAAAACACAAAGTACAGAAAAGATGTGTAAAACGGAAAGAAAGATTTTTTAATTATAAACGCACAGGAGAATCGCCAGCAGTCCAGATTCTCAATAATATTTTTTGTTCATTACAAGTCCCTGTAATCATTATACTATGTTCAATTCAGTCTGGTGTAGATGGTGCCATGACTCAGCTTTCAATAATCCAATTAGTCAAATGCCATGCAGTCAAACAGGTGGTCGTGGGTCTTTAAAGGACAATCACTTTGAAAACGTAAAAACATGAAACATGGTTAAAGATTACATCTACCAATAGATGCACATTAGTCTCATTAGAAAAGTTTTCAGAAGCATGTCGGCTCCTTACACTATAAATTTGATCCCATTGTTTTTTATACACCCACATTTTCATTATAATGTCATCCCCCCTGTCCTTTCACATTTCATAAAAATACAACCAAAACTGCCGGACAAAATGGCCGCTCCTTGTTTGCAAATGGTGTAAAAGTATGTAATACCAAGGTTGTGGACCCTCTATAAGTCACAATTTTTATTCTATTTTGATGAAACTTAAATATATGTTTACATTCAAAAGATCTTGGTTCCTTTCAATATTTGTGCATATCACACCGTAACTTGATTATGGCCCCTGATTGTACAAAAAATTGCGTTTTTGTTTAGCTTGTTCGCTCTTCATCTCTTGCAAAATGTGGGTGTACATTGTATCTTGCCTGCCAACTGCTGGTTTACAAATGATTAGAATTAAAAATTAACAACAGTTAGGACTGTTCCATTAATTACTTAAAGCGATAATTTCATATTTTCTAAGAAAGTCAAAACATAATTATTTCTATGTCTTTTGCCCAATAGGTTGTCAACTCACTATTATACGATCATAGTATTATTATACCTAAAATCCTTTGACCCCGGAAATAATAACACAATTACCTCCCTTGTTTTTCTATTCCCCCCCCCCCCATGGAATAGCTATCTTCAAACGTTTGAATTTAAAGTTGAAAATGATATTTTTGCCAATTTCTCAACTGGCAATAGTGAATTATAGGATTAATAGGATTATTCTTTAACAAGGTAGGACTGTTTATAGATACCATCTATTTTAAGGCTCTATTTTAATCAATTTTAGAAATATAACTTAAAAATATGAAATTGCAACTTTAATAGAACTATACTGAACAGGTATTTTAGAGGTGAACTGGAATGTCAATGTTAAATTGTTAATACAGAAATAATATTTATTTCTTCAGATGCATTTTAGAGGTGAACTGGAATGTCAATGTTAAATTGTTAATACAGAAATAATATTTATTTCTTCAGATGCATTTTACTGTGAGCCACAGCATGTCCACTTGGCATACGGAGATACCATTAGAGATGTGGTTATTATGTGGGCAACAAAACTAGATTGTAGTACAACTTTAATCTATGGTAAAACACCATGGAATTTTGGTACAAGAACTTCTGGTTCTAAAGTTAATTTTAAAGAAAACAATGAACTTGGTTTACAGTATCTTCATAGGGTCTATTTAAAGGTAACCTTTATTTTTTTTAATAAAACATAAACCGAGAATTCTGACGTGTGGTCAACGGACATAAATACTCTGATGTCTCTATTTCAATTTTATTGTTGTAATATTGGAATATGAGTGACCTATTTATAACCAATAAATCTAATTTGTATGTAATTACATGTAATTAAGTCATTATTTCTCTTATTATTCATTTACTGCTGTCTGTGTATTTAATGTACACCTACAAAGAGTAAACTATTATAAGGGTAGTAATTATATGTCAGGATATTTTCAACAATTATTCTATTTAGTAGTATTATTTGTGAAATTAATGATCATGACAATTAATCCTGTATGATACTGATGGGATTCAGCAACAAGTTGTTAATACACTCAAAGCCATTAACAACACAATGCCAAATTCAAAGTTTATTTACTGCAACAACTTTTAAGAAATGTACATAACAATTGACAAAATCGAGATAACAGGCATCTGTGGATAATTTCATGAAAGAATTCACTACAAATGCACAAAACCGAAACATCAGAGAATCATGAAACACCCTGAGCTCTTACACATGCCTGAAGTTGCCTTGGCATGGACTGACACAGATGTCTCACTACACGCTGTGGGATTGTTTGCCAATGATTTTGGAGTGCCTAGTTCGAGGTGGCACGGCTTGAGTTCAAACCCATTGTCCATGTTACGAGCAAAGCGTCCATGTTGACGGCGGTAGATACGGTGACGTCCATCAGGAAAACTGAGGTTGAATCGGGGGATTCATCTGAGAAGATGACATTTCGCCATGGTGTGTTGTGCAGATACCCCTGATTTGCGGCCTATTGCTGTCTGGCAAGGCGATTACAATTCAAAAGGATTTGACCTTGGTATGGTCGACGGCAGCGTAACCCCAGCCAGGCGCCTTCGGACTGTATGAGGGCTGATCTGACGTTGCCGTGTTCGAACAGTTCCCCTGGCAGTAGCAGTAGCTGACTGGAACCTGTAAAGCAGGAGCTGTAGTCGGATGTGGCGATCTTGAGCAGCGATTGTTACAGGCCGCAATCCAGATCGGGGTCGATCGGCAACTATTCCAGTGGCGTGGAAGCGTTGTCTGAGGCGAGCAATGGTCGATGGGTGGACATTAAAGTGTCTGGCGCCGGCTAAGAAAATTAAAATGTGTATTATTGTGCTTTTTATCTGAAAAATACTTTCTTCTTCAGAATCTTGATCCGAAAACTACTTATTTCTATCGTCCAGTTAGTGATAATATATCCAGTGGTCCATTTTATTTTAAAACTCCTGAAGATGGACTAGTAAGTTATGCAAACTTTAAACAATAAGATAAATATACAATAATGATATTATTAATTAATTCACATATGATATTTTGTAAGAATGCTAATACAAAGTACAACCAATTGTAACTGACAAACTTTGTTAACTTCACAAAAGAATAATGTATGGTCTAAATCTGAATACAGGTGTTTATATTTACTAGATTTTTTTTATTGAATTATTTTTTATAGGAATGGTCACCATTATTTATGGTATATGGTGATTTAGGTGTACATACTAACACCATACCATATATAACTAATGAAGTATTAACTGGTAAATATACAGCTATATTACATGCAGGGGATTTTGCTTATAATTTACATGATGATGGTGGAAAGGTAGGTTCAGTTTTTTATACACCCACATTTACATGTGGACATATATTGTGGTCAGTCCTGTCCATCCGGATGTCCATCCACAATTTGTGGACACTCTACAGGTCACGATTCTTATCCGATTTTGACGAAACTTGGAATATAAGTTTATCGTCAAAAGATCTTGGTTCCTTTCGATATTGGCATGTATCGGATCGAAACTTTCATGGATTATGACCCTTGATTGTATGAAAAATCACTTTTTTAGCTTGTGGATACTCTGGAGGTCACAATTTTTGATTTTGATGAAACATGAAATGCATGTTTCTAACCCAAAGATCTTGGTTCTTTTCGATATTGGAATGTATTGGACCATAACTTCATGGATTATGGCCCCTGATGTACGAAAAATCACATTTTTATCTGTTTAAAAAAAACGTGTGAATATACCACTGTTACACAATTATGATGGTTGATTTCGAATTTCGTTAAAATCAGACTAAAACTGCCGGGCAAAATGGCCACCCCTCGGACGCAAATAGTGTATAAATATGGTATATCAAGGTTGTGAACCCTCTAAACCTAGAGGCCACAATTTTTATCCGATTTTGATGAAACTTTAAATTTCTGTTTATATCACAAATATCTTGGTCCCGTTTGATAAACACGCATATCCGAACGTAACTTCCTGGATTATGGCCCCTGATTGTGCGAAAAATCGCATTTTTAGCTTGTGAATTCTCTAGAGGTCACGATTTTTAAACTGTTTAAATATATCACCGTTCCACCATAATGAAGGTTGCATACGAATTTCGGGAAAAACGAAATGAAACTGCGGGACAAAATGGCCGCTCTTTGTATGCAAATTGTGTAAAAGGAAGGTTGTAGACTCTCTAGAAGTCACAATTTTTATCCGATTTTGATGAAACTTAAAATATATCTTTATATACCAAAGATCTCAGTCCCTTTTGATATTTGCGTATTTCAGACCATAACTTTCTGGATTGTACAAAAATTGCTTTTGTTTTTAGCTTGTTCTCTATCCATCTCTTGCAAAATGTGGGCGTATGTTGCCTGGCAGCCGCTGGTTCATCTTATCTTATTTGATTGTTGTATCAGAAATTCAAAAGACAACTAAAGACTAATGTAAAAAAACAAAAAGTATCTTTAATCTTATTCAACAACTCATGTCAGATGTTATTGAAATGTAATAGTGTACAGTTGAGCAAAATGTCAATTTTGAATTATTCTAGGTTGGTGATAAATTTATGGAAATGATTGAAGGATTTTCTTCTAAAATACCATATATTACATGTCCGGGTAACCATGGTAAGTTTTATATTTTACATTTATATTTTACTCCAAACCAGGTTAAAGATCGGTCATATTGTACTCACATAGGTTTCATTTATTGTCACCCACCTTTCGGGGAAAGCTGGGGACTATTGAAATAGATTTGTCCATTTGTATACATGTAGCGGTCAGTGTCACACCTGTTAGTTAGAAAACAATAACTGTCGGATACTTTTACTTACTAAGTAAGTGAGAGTGATGAAACTTGGTAATAGTTTCCATGCATCAATATATTGACTAAGTTTGAAAAAAGGCACTTTCTGATCTGGTTAATCAGAGTGATAAGCAGGTTTACTTGGTGTACTGAGATACATGTGTCACAATGAAATTTTATTGCAACAAAGCAGATATACAAATAGTATCATTATCATATTACAGAATTATATACAAAATTTCTTTTTGAGAAGGGTCTAGCTATAGGCTTCTGCCTATTTTCTAATCCAGTTTGTGAATAAATATTGTTTATAAAGAAAAAATATTTCTTTTTTGCCCTTTTTAGAAATAGATAACTACACATTTGCTCAATATAGATATAGATTTTCAATGCCAAAAACTAATTGGCCCATACCATTAGATAAAATGTGGTTTAGTGTAGATATAGGTCCAGTCCATTTAATCAGGTAAGCAGATTTTCTTTCTAGATCAAGTATTTTATACATGGTATATTTTGAGCGTTAAAATTAAAATAAAAAAACAAACACAGTAAATCCTAATCAGCAGACAACATTGAGTAAAGTAGACTCACCACATGAGAAAAATCTCAATGTAAAGTGGTACTAGGTGTTCATGAAAGAGTAAACATACAGTGCCTCACCCATAACTGTCATTGTGTTAAGTGAAAAGTCAAGTATGATAAATTGGAAACATTTAGGTTGGTCAAAATAGATATGTAATGACAGACAGACAATATCAAAAACACAACACAGTTTATATGGAAATACAATCACTGGTTTATAGGCATAGAACGACGTTTCGACAAGTATTCTCTTATCGTTATCAAGCTTGATAACAATAAGACTAAGAGAATACTTCTCAAAATGTTGTGCTATGCTTATAAACCAGTGATTGTATTTCCATATAAACTGTGTTGTGTTTTTAATGTGTTCAATCACTAAATGCCACTCAAGGATTACAGACAATATTGTTATGGCGACCATAAAACTTAAAAAAATGAAGACTAAAATCTGGTTGGTAAATATCCCAGTTTCAGGAAGTTTGATGTTAACATTTTGCCATGGTACAAGAAGTCATTATAAAATAAATGTGTTCTGGCATGATTTATAGCTGGTGACTAGGTTATGTTGCTGCACATAAATGGAAAATAGCACATGTCGTGCTTGTCATATTTTCAAACACCAGCAATTAGGATAATTGTGTTTATTTTAAATATGAATTATATTATTCAATATGAATTGATAAATATATATCTCTTTTATTGTCCTGAATGAAAAGGCCTAATCATTCATAATATTAGAACTATTTGAAATTTCAGTTACTCGTCAGAAGTATTTTTTACTCACAATGAAGAATATGTAATGAAACAGAGAGATTGGTTGATACAAGATTTAACAAATGCTAATAAAAATCGTGACAAACAACCGTGGATTATTGCTTTTGGTCATCGACCTATGTATTGTTCTAATATTGTTAATGATGATTGTTCAAAGGTTGATTCTAAAGTTAGAGATGGGTATGTACACTTATTATTATTGATATGTTAGAATGATGAATATATTATGATAAGGTTATTCAGTGGACTAGTACTGCTTTATCTTCACCATTTCTTATCATATTACTTATGGTAACATCTGTGGTATACAATATATATCTATAGAGTTCTCCCATACTAGTTCAGTCACTGATAAGATATACCAGTTTTCATTAAATTATTTCAACCAAATGAAATTTTTTTTCAAAGGACTGTACCATTCTGTACACATAGTACTACATGAATCTACTTCAAGAATAGATTTCTACCTTGAATGGTGGCCATATCAAAAAATTGTTATGATATTTTGTAATGCGGTTCTGCCTACTCCATTGCACATCTTTTATTAACACTAAGTATACTATGAAAATTATTCCGCTTTTATTTATTAAAATTGAAAAGGTTTGTTTATAGTATACTTAGTGTTTTTGTCCCCCGCCTTTCGAAGAAAGCAGGGGGCTATTAAAATGGGTTTGTCCGTCTGTCTGTCCGTCACACTTTTTGGGACACAATAACTCTCTTCCTAATTGAGCTAGAATGTTCAAATTTGGTGTATGTGTTTATTAGGTCAATGCCTTGATGGAGTTCGAAGATGAGCATTTTCCGCTTAGGGTAAGCAGAGATAAGCAATTTGATTGGTTGATGCTTTGGGACACGATAACTCTCTTCCTAATTGGGCTAGAATGTTCAAACTTGGTGTATGTGTTGATTAGGTCAATGCCTTGATGGAGTTCGAAGATGAGCATTTTCCGCTTAGGGTAAGCAGAGATAAGCAATTTGATTGGTTGATGCTTTGGGACACGATAACGTTTAATTGAGCTAGAATGTTCAAACTTGGTGTATGTGTTTATTAGGTCAATGCCTTGATGGAGTTCGAAGATGAGCATTTTCCGCTTAGGGTAAGCAGAGATAAGCAATTTGATTGGTTGATACTTTGGGGCACGATAACTCTCTTCCTAATTGAGCTAGAATGTTCAAACTTGGTGTATGTGTTGATTAGGTCAATGCCTTGATGGAGTTCGAAGATGAGCATTTTTTAATTATTATATTGAGAACTGCCAACTCGTTATCGAATCTTCCATAATGTATCTTTAAGTGAGAGGGATGAAACTTGGTGTATAGTTTCATTACATCAATACCTTGATTAAGTTCGATAATGAGCATTTTCTGCTCCGGGTAAGCAGAGCGATAAGCAATTTGATTGGCCGAGACTTTGGAACACAATAACTCTCCTTCTAATGGAGTTAGAATGTACAAACTTGGTGTAGGTGTTTATGAGGTCAATGCCTTGATGGAGTGTGAAGATGAGCATTTTCAGCTTAGGGTAAGCAGAGATAAGCAATTTGATTGGTTGATGCTTTGGGACACGATAACTTAGTTCTAATTAAGTGAGAGTGATGAAACTTGGTGTTTAGTTTCATTACATCAATACCTTGACTAAGTTCGATGATGAGAATTTTCTGCTTAGGCTAAGGAGCAAAAAGCATTTTCATTGGTCAAGACTTTGGAACACAAAAACTCTGCTTCTAATTGAGGTAGTATGTTTAAACTTAATATAGATGTTCGTCTTAACTGAGTTCAATGATTAACATATGGAGCTAAAGCTAAGCAGAGATACATGTAAGCAATTTCCTTGGTCGATGCTTTGGGACAAATTAACTTTGATTCTATCTGATAGAGAGTGATGAAACTTAGTGTATAGTTGATAATCAGTTTGATTGCTTGACACTTGAAAAAAATAGATGTGCGATTTATTAATATGTGTCATCTATTTATTTGAGGATTTCGGCGGGGGACATCAGCCTCACTGTTGGCTTGTTTAATTTCATGTGGACAGATATTGTCGTCGCCCCTGTACATTCGTCTGTGTGTCCGTCCGTCCGTGTGTCTGTTCACAATTTGTTTTTGGACACTCTACAAGCCACAATTCTTATCTAATTTTCTCCAAAAGATATCCATTCTGTTCAATATTAACATGTATTGGATCGAAACTTCATGAATTGTGGATCCTGATTGTATGAAAATCACGTTTTTACTAGCTTGTGGACATTCTAAAGGTCCTTTTGACATTTGTGCACATCGGACCATAACTTCCTGGATTTTGTCTCCTGATTTGCTAGTTTTGTGTCCATCTCTTGCAAAATGTAGGCGTATCTTGCATGGCAACCACTTGTTTACTAATATTGTTGGTTTAGGAATTAAATTTTCGGTCAACTAGATTAGTATCTAATTGTAGACTGCTTTAATTTAGTATAAAGACTGTACCTGGCAAAGCATTTGTTAAATGAGTAATTATTTTATTTTAGATTTGAAGATATATTTTATTATCATGGGGTAGATATAGTTCTACAAGCCCATGAACATTCATATGAACGGTTGTTGCCTATGTATAAGAAAGTAGTATTATCAGAAGATTATAACAATCCTCTAGCACCAGTACAGATTATTACAGGAGCTGCCGGCAGTAAACATGGTATAGATCCAATGATGCAACCACCATATGGTAAGAATAGTAACATTATATGTCATAACAGTTGTGCATGCTGGGGAGTGTTACTTTTTAGGCTGGAACTATTCAATTAACTTGTTATGGAAGTGTTTAAGTCTTATAATGTATTCACATCAGTGCCAAAATTTGCTAATACAATATTAATTGAATTGAACCAAGATGAAGGTCTCAATGTTTAGTTTAAGTCTTCTAATATATCCACAAAGTTGGCTATCTATAATACAATATTAATTGAACCAAGATGAAGGTCTCAATGTGAGAAGTCTTATAGTAAACAACTGTATGATATCTTTACCTGAACCATGTTGTATTTATGTCCCAATAAATTTTATAATAAGAATGGATAAGGGATATAGTTAGTGTAACCAAGAGGGTTACTTTCATAAACCAGGAACAACTTTATAAATCTGGATATGATTTATTCCAACAGCAACAACATTAAAATAAACTAATATAAAATGGCAGAACAATATGATGTGCAAATATAAAATGGCAGAACAATATGATGTGCATCTTAGGTTAATATGTTAACTTAATTATATCAATTGGTTGTTAAGAATTTAATCTGAAATAGTTTTAAAGTTCAATATGTTACACAGTAAAAGAACATCAAAATGTTGCCATAAGTGACTGGAACTAAATGATAGATAATGTTAAATTTATGAAAGCAATAGATAAGGGTAAAGAAGGAATTTAGATAATAACTGTTCAAACATTATACTATATTTAAAATAGATAAGGTCGATACAGCAGATATATTTAATTTTTGTTGAAACAAGTGTAGGAGTGTTTAAATTTGGTCTACATTTAATAATCCGTTTTATAAGACTGGAGAATATCAATAATTATTTATGAATAAAATATATGAAAATACATCCCACAAGCATTATATTAAATTGAAATGCTTGGTCATACAGGTTATTTTGATACTAGAATAACTTTGTTACCTTTGTGTTTCCTTAACCTTCTTGGAATTATTTACCATGTACATCATCTATTTTCCCCCCAAACCAGAGATGCTTCTTATCTGCCTAGCAGATGTTAACTTTGAGAAATGTCAGTTTCCAGATAATGACAACTTTTAGAAATTGTATTGGCATAGGAGGGGATCCAGTCCCCCACCCCCACTACGAATTGTGTATTGCTTTCTTGTCTAAGTGTCAAGATATGAAATACTGGGGTTTATTTCTGTGCATGGATAATAGCAGATTCAGAGATTAAAGGGAAAATGATAAATCTATTCTGAAAGGTTTTTTTTATATTTTTAGAAGTCTGGTCTGCATTCCGAATGGCAAATGGTTCTTTAAATAGTTTTGGTACATTGAAAGTTGACAATGCAACACATATAAAATGGGAACAAAGATCTGTTATTACCTCCGATCTTATTGATTCTGTGTGGATAGTTCAAGAAAATCACGGACCATTCCGTCGTGATAATTTACCAAAAAATATCAGTGATGAAATAGAAGATAGTATTAAAAAGTCTGGTATTAAACCAGTTTATTTAGATGATAAAACGGAGAAAGAGGAAATATTTGAAAATGATAAAAAGCAGCGAATGTATATCGGTATTGCTTTTGGCTCATTGTTTGTTGTAGCTATAGTTATTGTATTGGTTGTGAGAAGTTGTCGTAGAAAACAACGTTCAACTCGCCGTTGGGAGACCATGGATTTTAATTATGGTAAAAAGTTTTACAGTGCAGCAAAAAATAGTGAGAAAGATTTAGATGTTGATAATGACTTTGAAATTGATATGAGTGATGGAACTTTACCAACAACTAAATTATTAGCAGATGATTAACACAAGTGTTGATTTTTTTCAGTATATCACCAATATTATACATTAGCATAATTATATAAACCAGGGTCTCCCAATTGCATTTATTTTGAAAGATTAAGTCCCAACATGCCAGAAAGTAAAGTAATCGATAAAAACCAAGTTAATTGATGATATACAGATTTTGTGTTCTAAGAAATGTTAAATATGAATGATGTATTGTCGTTTATTAGATTTATGAATAGCAGCTTTACACATCAGTATTGCATAAATTATCCAGATTAGATTGTAGTAAGTCTTTACATACTGTAAGATGTGATCTAATTTGTTGGGGATTGACCGACCATTATTTGGGTTTTATTTTTAATATTCATCCAGTTATTTGTTAAGACATACCAATGACTCTTTATTTTTGAGTTCTTCATGCATTCCTATTATATCCAGGTTGAGTTTTCCTATGATATAACATACTTGACGAAAATATATTTATTTTATTATTACCAAATAATCTGTAGTTGCCATACGGTTGTGGTTTATATTAAATGTATTTGTTTATGTTGAGGGGTATAGTATATATTAAAATATATACAGCAAAAGTTAAAACTAAATTTTAAACATCATAGGCTGTACATAGAGCAGTCTTTTGGGGTTTCTTGCTTTAAATTTAAATGTATGTTGTCTTTTTTATCACATCGTTAGCCATTGTTATAATGGAGGAAATGCTCAAATGATGTCAACAATCTGACAAAAAAATAAAATGTTTATTTATATCCAAAGACCGACACCAAATATCTCGTAAGTGGGAATCAATTGTTTGCTATCTTATGAAGTATGTGTAGAGATTGCTTTCCCATTGCTCTTTATGTATGTATTACAAACTGCTTTAGTGTGTTAATAGATTTATGTATGGTAATAGTTTCTGGACTAAAAATTTCTCAGTCTATTTTATCCAAGAGTAGAACATAAGACATTTGATGAAATATTAGTATTATCTTGTAGACATATTTAATTTAAACATGTTTTAACTTAAAATAAAATTCAGAAGAGAGAATTACATGATAATTTTTCAAATGAAAATGTATTAACACAAGGTACAGGTTTATGGATACGTGAGTTTAATAGTATACTATATCTGTATCGTTTGCTTTAATCTCAGTAATTTGTGTATCCATAAACTGTACCTTGTGTTAGAGGACAATATTATTGGTGTCAGTCATTATCACATATGTAATAGAACTGGTTAAACAGGTTCTAATTATAATTCTAACACAGAGATCATTACTACGATAGATGCGTTATGAAGATTTTAAGAAAAGGAAGTGACAAACGCAAAAGGAAAACATGAGTTATCCTTCTATATAACTGATAGAAGTGACGAGTGATAACAAATGCACGGGTGAATTACTGCTCACTAATAATTCCTTTGAAGACCAAAAGTTGTGATGTAAGGCTGTTAAAGGATATCTAATAATTCAAAAAAGTAATTGAATGTCACTAGATAAGAGAAAATGTGAAAAATAGAAATAGTTCGTACATTCCCTTGTTTTAATTTTCTATTTTTCTCTGTTATCTAGTGACAGTCAATTATTTTTTTTTAATTGTTTTCCTTTTGCGTTCATCACTTCCCTTTCTTGAAAACTTCATAAAGCATCTATCGTAGCAATGATAAAATTATATTTGGAATGAGTTTAACCAGTTCTATCACCAATATTGTCCTTTAATATGTTCAATTACTAAATGCCTATCAAAGAAAAATATATTAAGCTTCAGAAATCCCTGCTTCCTATACAAACATTCCAGCTGACAACTTTTTACACTTCCTTCTTAAAAGTTGTATGCAAACCCCATGTGCCTTCAACAATAGAATATGTTATAGTGTCGTATATCCCACACAGTACCTCGTTTATAGTATTCTCTTTGCTTTGCATTGGGTAATGATTGGAATCTCCATTTGCCTATTATGTCTCTTTGAATAAAGAAATGACTTTGGTGTTGAAAGAATTGAGACTTGAAGAATTATTAAAATGTTAGCCTAATAATACAGATGTACATGAAATTTACTAAAGCTTTGAATGTATTATTTAAATGCTTTCTAGTAAGACTGAGTTGCAACTACCAATTTGTATGCTTTACAAACAATATCAATAATATAATATGTTTTAACATTCCTTTGTTTTGAAATCAATTTTATTTATGTTTATTTCTGTTTGTTGTATATATAACGGTATTATGTATGTATTTTTTATTGTGCAATATTAAATTTCATGTTGGTTATTAATTTACAATATGTTGTTATCAATAAAATTAAAAACATTTTTCACATACAGATGCTGGCTTGGTAATATTATGATAATCCGAGTACAAAAATAGATGTATTGATTACACAGCTGTTGTATACCTGCATCTAATTTTTTTTATTATGGTAGAGGCTCAGTATTGATTAACAATAATGTTCAGATGGCTTTATAAATTCTTCATTTACAAAATGGCCTTGCCTTTTGTTTGAATTTCTTCTGATGCATTTTAGCATTGATAAAAGAACAAGCCAACAGTGAGGCTGATGTCCCTTGCCGAAATCCGAAAATAAATAGATGACACATATTAAGAATGCGTTTGCGAGAGAACCATGCAGGGACCGGCATATGGTGGGTGACCAATTTTGACCATTTTTTTTTTATGTATGATGGGTAACCCCTCCCAACCCCACTGCCACAATTTTAGATCAATCGAGCCATTTTTAGAGCGTAGAAATTTTTTTGAAATTTTAAGACCGAAAAAAGCCCAAAAATTATCATTTTCAGGTCACTTTTTAATTATTTCGCACAACTAAACTACGGGGAGTAGATTAATGAAACTTTATATCGTAGCAGATATGGTTAGTGAGTATACATTCTGAAAGTTTGATGGATTTTCATCGAGCGGTTTTCGGTATAGGGACTTATTGCTGCAAGGTACCAAAATAGCTCAATTTAGGTATGTCATTTTATTCTATCTATGTCTCACCCACTGCGGGTTTAAGTATTTTTTTGGAAAGCTGACTGAAAAGACAATGATCTATAGTATTAAGATCAAGAAAAAAAATTGGGTGGCACTCGACTCGTTTAGTAGTAAATAATTTCCATTTTAGTACAAAAATAACGATTTTTAACAAAAATGACGAAAAGTAAACCGCTTTATTTACACACTCAAAAGTGTAACATGGCACTTGAAACCAAATTAACGTGGTTTCCAGTTCCTTGTTTCCAGTTTCCAGTGTTTCGTTTGATTAGACCTAATCACACTCAACACTGCCGTAATGAAAGCAAATTTCTGTTCCAAATTATGATTGGTCAATAGTCCAATTACAACCAATACCTAACTGTGTAACAACATAATTCTGGTTTAAACAGAGTTTCAAATATGTTAACATAACGTTACGTCATGATTCACGAAATTTATTACGCCCAATTAACCAGTGCATAGCAGAAAAACTAACTGCGTGACAAACGAGGCTATCTACATGGCTACAATGTAAACAATACTGTTTGCAGACGAACAATACTTTCACCGTTTTTAAAGGGACAATAACACTCTTGCTGGCTTGAAAGCTTCAGAAAATAAATAATATCTCTATCTAAGTACTAGATGTTTAAGTGTCCTACCTGTTGTGTAAATTATCCATTACATCCTATTTTATTTGCCCAGAGGGTTCGAAAATATTTTTAAATCTAAGTTTCATTTGAAAAGGTTTACGTTAGAGGTTTCAAACCATTATGTTGAATTTTTCAAATTTTTTAAATAAGGTGTGTTAAGATGAAATTTGTATCATCAATTAATTGAAATATTCTAAAATAGTACAATTTGTTGACCAGAATAAAGATTGGGACATATTATTCAGTTACAACAAGAGTGGTACTGAGCCTTTAATACCTTAAATCACTGTCCAAAGTTTTAGGGAAGACCCCAGATTAAACGAAAGTGCAAATCTAACTTCAGCCTGACGAATAATAATAATATTATTAATATGTACATTTATATAGCGCACGTACTCGATGTACAGAAGATTGTCCACTGCGCATACAATTAAATTAATTTAATTAATCTTGATGTAAAACAAGAAAGGGTTTGAGATGATTTAATGATATCTGGAAGCTGAGCACGATCTGTATCCAAATGATATTAATTTCCACCTGATGAATGTGTGTTCTGCCGGAGGTTACTCGAGGGAATTTGTATGTGCATAAAGTTAGATAAGTATATTAGAGCTAAACCATTCACACACTGATACGTCAAAGACAGACTTTTGAAGATGATTGGCAGCCAATAGATTGATTTCAGAACAGAAGTAATATGAGAGTGTTTTGGTGATCTGGTAAGAATTCGAGCTGCTGTATTTTCTACAAGTTGATGTTTTTTAATATTGGCACTAGATGTTCCTACTAACAAGCTGTTACAGTAGTCAATCCTTGAGAATACCAAAGAACATATAAGTGTAGCCGCTGCTTCCTGGCTAATAAAGTGTTTATATGGCCAATTTTCACTAATGTAACTGTCCATGCTCAAATTGGACCCCAAGAGGACACCTAACCTCTTCACAGTGTCTCATGGTACAAATATTACATCTCGTAAAACCACATCATTTGAACTTGTATTTTTCAGATGTGTATTTTGACCACATAAAATACATTCTGATTTACTTAATTCAATTAAATTTAATTTCAACATATTTCTTGTCATTCTATGTTTAATGTCATGTGTACACAATTTGATGTCAGAAAAATTAGGGAATGAAACAGTTTTTGAAAGGGAATAACTTGCGATCAGCTGTGTATCATCTGCATAAGAATGTCGTCCTAGAAACCATGATTATTGATTAGTTATCCAAATTTCTTAGTATACATTACATAAAGGAAAGGCCCAAGGACTGATCCTTGTGGAACTCCCGAATCATCTGTACCGGCCCTACACAGGGTTGCGGGTAGGCGGTTGCATGGGGCATTATCAGGCATAATAATCCAGGCAATGGGTGATTTTATTGGAAAAATGATATCAAAAATGAAGTCCTTTTCTTCAAGTTCGACCATCAAATTTAATATGAAAGAAATCCGTGCCAGTCATTTTGTCAAAACCAAATATTAGTATTAGTAGTCATCAACTTCCATTATAAATATAATTGTCCTCAGCCCCGCAGTGGGTGAGATATAGCATCATGAAATTTATATGTTTTAGCATATAGCAAAAACTACGTCTCCAAATAAATTCCTCATAGCCTGAAATGGTTGTCGGAAAAATTTAATAGTCATATATATTGAAGTAGTAGACATGATCATTCATAAAAAAAAAAATTTAAAAAAAATAAAAAATCAATAGACAATTTATGGGAAATATTTGAATTTAAGGAATTTTTTTTATAAAAAAAACACTAAAATGGCCATAGCTGGTTCTCCGTAACTACAAGGTTGGTGCCCCTCATATTTCATGTGGGGTGATAAGGTTGGCTTCAAGCAGGTTTTTGAAGGTGAATTTTTCTATCCCGCCTGTGGATTGCCCATGATGAACTAGAGCTGGGCGATATAAAACCATGACAGAAATAAACTGTCCAAAATATTGAAAAACTGAACATATTGCGAGATATCACAGTTTTTATTTTGGAGAAGGATATTTTTATATTTTGGAGAAGAATATTTTTAAGAATATTTTTATATTTTGGAGAAGAATATTTTTATGTTTTGGAAATCATATTTTTCTCGCAACGGATAAATATTTACCGTTTAAACATGTGCTTTACAAACTGGAGGAAAAAAAACAACAATACTGTACAGGTGATGGTCACGTGACATTGAGTGCTACTTGTTGATTCCAATAGCGGGTTCAAGTCCACCGTTATTTGTTATTTATAGAGCCATGCGGGGGCATTTTGTTGGCACTGCAAGATCATTCAAGTGCGGTAACATGCCAACTGCATAGTTTCGTTTCGATTTTAGGAATTTTACCATTATACATTCCAATGCTAACAGATTGGCAGAACAGGAAGAGACATTATTGATGTGGAACTGGAGGAGACAGAAGAAGAATGCGGGGGCATTTTGTTGGCACTGTAAGATCATTCAAGTGCGAAAACATGCCAACTGCATAGTTTCGATTTTAGGAATTTTACCGTTATACATTCCAATGCTAACAGATTGGCAGAACAGGAAGAGACATTATTAATTGATGTGGAACTGGAGGAGACAGAAGAAGAATATGTTCCAAAAAAGAACAGCACGAACGAGGTGTGGCGATATATTAGCTTTAAAAATGTGGACGTATATTGTGCAGAAAAAAAATCTTCAAATTTGTTTCATCATTTGAAGATAAAACATCCTGTAGAATCACACAACGTCCAATCTGGAGCCTCAACAAATAGTTCTGAATCAGCATTGAAAGCTAAACCTAAACAAAGACAAACATCGTCAGCTGGGCAGTTTATGCCGTATGAAATAAACTCTAAAAAAAAACCAGGACTCTTACAAATTTCATAGCCAAGGACATGCTTCCTGTTTATACAGTTGAAAAATCTGGATTCAAGAATTTACTAAAAACTTTGGATGCAAGGTATCAGTTGCCAGGACGGAAATATTTCAGTCAAACAGCAATACCTGATTTGTACAACAAAGTTTACAACACGGTTTCCAATGAAATCAAAGACATATAGTTTTATGCTGGAACTACTGATTTGTGGTACAGAATTACCAATCAAAATCAACATTGATCAATATCCATATTTGTTAGAGTTACACCTAGCAGATCATTATCAAGAATTCAAGGACAATGCCACTGATATCCTGATAGGCGCAGACTATTATTGGGATTTCAGTGGCCATTTACAGTAAATTTGGTTGGCTGATTTCTGGTCCAATTAAATTTTACTGTTACAAATCTAATTATAGATTTACAAGAAGAAGATTCGTATACACATCTCATTGACATAGACACCTTACGCAACTTTTGCAATGTCAAATCTATTGGTATTATGAACAAAAATGACACCACATCAGATGATTTTTCTGATTTCATGAATATCTGTTTCAACGATCAACAACAATATTAAGTTAGTTTATCATGGAAGGATTTCATGTGGCATAACACTAACAATTATGACATCTGTGTCTCACGGTTGCATCATTTCAAGTCATGTTACGACTGATTTTAATTAAGGCTTTCAGCAATTAGATATTCTGAATGGACATTTTTCAAAAGCTGAAAATTGTCCATACGACACCTGTGCAATTTTATTGGAATGGCCGATTATGCGCCAAATGATTATTTTTAATCATAAGGGGCTAAATTATACTGAATTAC